AGTTATAAGCCTGCTCTGTAATATTTTATTATTCGACCGTCAGGACCGATTCGACCATTTTCACAGAACCAAACAAACTAATATGTGCATATTTAGATAATCATATATATATAATCAATTGATAACTGAGTAGTGTCCGATGACATTTTTGTATATTCCTTTAATGGTTATTGAATTCTATCGGTTGAATTGCAATGTCTCGATTATTTTAAGTGATTTTCTATCGTGTACATTATATTTAGATGTTATATGGCTCACAGTATTGTAGTGGGAACCCTGAACCTAAGTTTGTGCTATTCAACGCACACCAAAAAAGTGTACCTGCAGTTTTCAGGAAACTAGTTCTCTCAGTGGTGTTTTAGCTACATCAAGCAGCACAAATCAATGTAAGTATTCCACTCCTACAGGCGGTTAATCATGTTTCGAATAACTAAGTGTGTAACATTTCTGACTGTGACATGCGTTCAAATTCCATGGCTAACCCCAATTATACCAAAATTATAGGTGTTAACTAGCACAAAACAAAGGACGAGTTGGATTTCCTACATACTACCTCCAACAAATTAATATCAAACTAACTTACCGTCTAAAACTATTTATTGGTCTATATTATATGTCATTGTTTTATCTTAACAGTTTTATAAACATAATTCTGACAAATTTTTCTTTGATGTATTTTCTCTCTTTTTTCTTCACCTGCAAATTGGAAACAGAAAAGTGAAAGCCAACGAAGAAAGATTACGTAAAAAGAAAGAGAAATCATATACAAAACAATTACGACAAGATCATTATCACACTGATTTATTTTGATCCGTTTTTTAGTTTTCTATGAAAGTGTAAATATCACAATTGTTATTATCAATACTATCCCTTATATGTGTTACTGTAAAAATAAATAAGTAGTATGCCATATAATTATTGAAGTTTTTGCTTTTTTATTAGTTTGCTTGTTGTATATATAAATTTAACTTATATTTTAACATTAAAACTTTAAGGAAAACCCACAGGTAAATGCATTTTTAGATATTTTTCTTGCAATAACATGACTGTGTGTGATCATTTTATCTACCTCATATACAGATTTGTATACTTGGCTTTAGGGCTACACTGTAAGTGTGAAGGTTAGTGACTTGTACTGATCAGTTGCCTAAACTGGAATAGATGAATAGATGAGGTTTAAATTTGCGACTTCGTAAATTGAAAGCGAACACTTCAACCACTGAGTTAATACTTCACCATTGTGTGAGATAACATATAGATTCGGTTAATTTGGTGTTTAATTGTCTTGAATCCGATTTATTGAATTCCATTAATCGCAACTCACGGAAAGTCATCTTGAGTTTATGGATTTTCCAACTTTCCTCTCGAGTTGTTTTTATTTTGTAATCAATTCTTGAGTAGCACTAAGGAATTACATCCAACTAGTTATGTGACGAAGTTGTGTTGTTTATAAATCAAGCTCATTACCACGTATAAAGTTTTTGTTTGGTTTCTAGTTTAAGTGTCTATATAACAATAGGTATTGTTGTTTGGTCTAGTTGTTTCTTTATTTTGATATTTAGGAGAGACCCTATTCATTGTTTTATTACGTATGGTAATCAGTTCAGCATTATCAGCTTGCGATAACTGGACTCTAGTTAGAGACATTGAGTGACATGGCTCAGAATCCATATTACTATATTACTTACTTAATTACTTACTCCTGTTACCCTTTATGGAGGAGTATAGGCCGCTCATCAGCATTCACTATCCAATCCTGTCCTGGGCAATCCTTTCCAGCTGCTATTCATTCTACTCACATCTGCTTCTAGTTCTCGGCGTAGTGTGTTCTTTGGCCTTCATCTTTTCCGTTTCCCCTCAAGATTCCAAGTTAGCGCTTACCTCGTGATACATTTTGGTGATTTCCTCAATGTGTGTCTTGTCCACGTCCAATGTCTTTTCCTAATTTCCTCTTCAGCAGGAAGTTAGCTTGTTCTCTGTTGCTGGTGGTATCTGACCAACGGACATTGAGTATCTTGAGTAGAAAATTGTATTTAATTACTTGTATCTTTTTGATGATGAGTGCAGTGGTTCTCCAAGTTTCCACTCCGTGCAGTAGGACTGTCTTGACGTTCTTATTAAAGATTCTGACTTTGATATCAGTTGATAGTCGTTTTGAGTTCCATATGTTCTTCAAATGTAGGAATGCTGCCCTTACTTTACTAATCCTTGCCTTTATGTCTGGATCAGATCCTCCTTGTTTATCGATGATATCGTCCAGGTACGTAAAACTTTCCATCCCCTAAGAGCTTCTTTGTCAAATGTGACTGGGTTGATGCTCTATGTGTTATACCTTATGATCTTCCTTTTTCCCTTGTGTATGTTAAGGACCACTGTCACAGAATCTGATACTACACTGTCTATCTTCCTCTGTATTTGTTGATGTGTATGGGATAAGAGAGCTAGATCACCTGCGAAGTCCAAATCGTCTAGTTACATCCAACCTGTCTATTTTATTCCATGCTTCCCCTCAGATGTGGAGCTCTTCATGATCTGGTTAACCACTAGAAGAAAAAGAAGGTGGGAGAGTCGAGAGTCTTGTCTGACTCCGGTCTTTACTTGCGATGTGTCTGTAAGCTGTCCTCCATGCACCACTTTGCAGTGTAGTCCGTCGTATGAATTCCTTACGATGTTAACGATTTTCTCAGGTACTCCATAGTTTCGAAGAAGTTTCCATAGTGTTCTGTCCACAATGCAAATGCTTTCTTATAGTCAAGAAAGTTGATGTATAGTGACGAGTTGTATTCTATTGATTGTTCAACGATAATCTGTAATGTCGCGATTTGGTCAGTGCACCACCGATCCTTACGGAATCTAGCCTGTTGGGCGTCTACTGCATCTTCCATCCGGTTCAACAACACTGTTAAATACCTTTCTTGACATTGATAGTAGTGTGATTCCTCTGTTGTTCTCACATTTGCCCAGATCTTTTTTTGGTATCTTGGTGAGGTAACCTTCTTTCTAGTCGTTCGGCACTTGTTCCTCCCCTCAAATCTTCTTGAATAGAAGGTGAAGCATGTTTGAAGCTACTTCCATGTCTGACTTCAGCTGGTATATTGTCATGTCCTGCTGCTTTCCCGCTCTTGATTTGTCTGATGGCCATTGTGATTTCTTCGGTCGTTGGTGGATTGACATCTATAGGAAGGTCTGTGTGTGCTGCTTCCATGTCCGGTGGATTCAGTGGAGCTGGTTTATTCAAAAGTTCCTCGAAGTGTTCTACCCATCTGTTCCTCTGTTCTTGAATCTCTGATTGGCTTGCCTTCTTTGTCTTTGATCGGTCTCTCCGGTTTACTTGTCTCCCTGACAGTTTCTTCGTTGTCATGTAATTGTTTCATATTTCCTTAACTTGCAGCTTTTTGTGCCACCGTTGCTAGCTCTTCCATGTATTTCTGCTTGTCGGCTTTAATGCTCTTTTTCAATTGTTTGCTTCTGTGTATTCTGAGTGTGCCTTTACATTTTCTGTTCTTGTTCGGCTGTTGTTAATTGCTGTCTTGTTCTTCCTTTCTTGAATCTTGTCCAGTGTTTCTATAGAGACCCATTCCTTATGATGATGCTTCTTTTTGATCAGCACCTCCTGTCACGTTGAAGTTAGTGCTTATTTGATCTCTCTCCAGTTGTCCCCCCATCGTAGCTTATTCTTCTTTCAGTTGATCCTGTAAGGCTTGGAACCTGTTATTGAGAGTTATCTTGAATTTGTTGACTTTGTCAGTATATCGAAGGAACGCCGTATTAAACCTTTGTAATACTGCTTGTTCAATTGTCCAGTGCTTCTTCAGCTCCGGTTTCTTCTTGGCAACCACCAGGTGGTGATCTGAAGCTATGTCAGCTCCACTCCTGGTTCTGACGTCTCCCATTGACCTTGTGAATTTTTTACTGATGCAAATATGATCTATCTGGTTCTCTGTGATGTGGTCCGGTTAGATCCCTATTGCTTTGTGTACGCGTTTGTGTGGGAATGTTGTGCAACCTATAACCAATTTGTTGAATGCACATTAATTTGCAGATCTGTCACCATTCTCGTTCGTTTCTCCCAGTCAGTCCATGTCGTTCCATGATATCTTCATACCCGTTGTTGTCTATTCCGACTTTGACGTTTAGATCTATCAGGTGGTTAGGTTGTTTTCTGGGCACTTCTCTATGATTGATTGCAGCCTCTCATAGAACTGATCTTTATCGTTGTCATTGCTATCAATTGATGGGTGCATAACATTGGATAATATTCACTGTAATTCCCTCCTTTGTTTTGAAGGATTCTTTGATCCTGAGTCCATAAGATTCCCATCTCAAATGTGCTTTAAGTGCTTCTTTGGACAGCATCAGAGTAAATCTCTGAGTGTGTGGAGCATTTTCCTCTTCGTGACCAGAGTACAGCAACATTTCTGCCTTACCTAACTTTTTGCTGTTGAGCTTTAGTCCAATGGGTTTCATTGATTCCGAACACCGCCAAGTTGTATCCCCTCATTTCTGTTGCTGTGTGACTGTTTCATTAGGTCTCCCACATTGTCCGAACGTTCCATGTATTTATAAAAATTGTCGCTCTGATTGTTAGAAGGGGTATAGGCCTCGTGACTTCCGAAGATTCTCGGCTTTCAGCATGGGGCCTCATAATTCTTCCTTCAATTCCGAGGGTAGAGTTTAAATGATTTAGTTTGTTTAATCTGATTGGCGTTTTTTAGCATGGTTGTTTTCTACGGGATGGGGTTGCCGACCCCATGCCCAACCCTCCTCCTTTACCCGGTCTTGGGACCCGGCAGTATCCCTAAAGAGCTACAGTAATAATTTACTATGTATTCTGCATATAATTACAGAATCGGTCACAGTTATCATTCTTCACATTCCTCTACATTTATTATTCTCATTCTTCCTTCAAACATACTCTTTCAGACTGTCTTTCTTAACCATATTCTCGACGTTTAGTCCTCTTTATCATAACTACCAGAATTATTTCCTCTTCTTTACAAGATAAATGATCCTGCTCGTGTCATCTTCAAAGGAATGCGGTTTGAAATGCATATAAGTTAAATCTATGACATTTGAATATACAGTTAATTGGTTTGTCAATTAAGTATTTAAATGCATAATTATTATCGTCCCACAACCCGGTGATATGAATCACATCTGTCATATAAAGGTAAGCGATAACTGGTTGTAAATTGTATTCCTAAACGGCTATGCACAGATAGTGAAACTTAGTAATCTTGGAAATGGTTTTTGATATCTAAATCACTGCTTACATGTTTTCTGTAATTGACATTTAATGTGAATAAGTTCAGTAATTGAGTATTTATAGTGAATATCTGAGTTGATTTATTTCTCACGACCTCAAACCAAATTTTCATTGAATTCGTAATGATATTTAGCTTCAACATTAATTACATATTGATGAGCACTGGTTGGTTTAGAATTCACCATGTTTTGACTTATGCTCAAGACTTTTAAGGTTGCTGTGAATAAATAAGACCGATTAGTTGTTCATTGTTTTTGTAAAAACGTGATTTTTAACGGATATAATACGCAGTCTACCCAGTAACTACATTCATTCAGGTCCTTTGAAAACTATTCTATGGAGTTCTGTGTATTTATTTAAAAACAAACAATTGTACAAAGAGGCACTAAATAGATATGCGCCTATTAAATATTTCAATTTATGTCAGGGCTAGGATACTACTCGGGCGCTCAAACCGAAGCACGTGGTTTACTTAGTGGGGTCACTCCCCGAGCATTTGACCTACAGCTCTAATCCACAAGGCAGTAGAGAAACTTTAGGAGATGCAGTCCCATGGTAGTCGGTGACCACCGATTGTTTCATACGCCAATTTCTGCATTAGGATCATGGAGCTCATGTGCACCATTGGTTTAGAATTGTGGTTTATCAACTCCCCTAATTGGATCCTATGTACACCAACCCAGGTAATTCACTGGATATTCACTCTGTGTCCTCCATCTCGTAAACAACACCCCCATTGGGAGCGGGAAGTAAGTAGAACTTCTGTGTCAGTGGCTGTATACGCGTGTCCATGTGAGAGCATTTGGAAATGGAAAGCGGAATACTCCGGCTCTCGGCCGTATCAGAGCATTTGGGGACTTAATTCTGTGTGCATCAGTTCGATTCATTACAAGACTTTCCAGCTATCTTTCGTATCTTATTTCGGTTAGATTCATCATTTTCATCAAACTTAGTCCAGCTGCAATCATACAGACGATGAACTGGTAAACTGAATACAGAAAAAAAAACAAGAACACGTCATGCTCCAGTCTATGCCGTTAGTTAGCGGCTTTCCTAGCATTGCATCATCTCTCACTCTACATAACTCATTGAAACTCTTGATCAGCTAAACATGAAATGCGTTCTTCAATGTATCGCCTACACATAGATATCCGTCATTTCAGTCATTATCCTAAGAATTAAATTAAAGTTGTAGTGAACAAGAACACGGGTGGGGATAATCGATTGTATTTAGCACAAAGATTACAGGCTATCTCAATAAAATGTTAATACCATAAAGTCAATCGTCAATTTGCAAAATATCATTCCATCATATCAAACTGTACTGTTCCCGTTGCAAACACTAATCCATTGTCTCCCATTCCATTGTACATGTGTTTTCTTACAATTCCATTGTGCTCTTACTCTTCCTTTCTTGATCTTCGCCATCTTCTGCTGCCGGACCTTACGTTTATTTAACGCACGTAATATACTACTTATATGAATATAAGTAGCTCATACCACAAAGTCATATCAACAGTCTTAGTAGCGTACTCTGAGAATTTATTGTTTGACATACTATTTCACTAACTTTTGTACTAATAAGTAAAGCTTAACTGTAATACCATATTTATACTTATGTTTAACTTGTTGTTTGATTAATCCTCAATGTTATCTTTTTTACTTTTATAGACTTCTATCAATGTCTCAATCAAATTCAACTAATAATTCTAATTCTCATAATAATAATAATGATAAAATAAATCAAAACTTAGAAAATCATGAACAATTAATTCATTCTAGATTAGGCAGTATTGTACCAGAATGTGATACAGTAAAAACTGCATATGATTTATGCTTTCAAGAATTTTTTCCAAATTTTCTAAAAGGTTATACTTTTGAAAAAGATCCATGTGAAAAAAAATTGAAAATTTATCAAAATTGTTTAAGGGAAGCATTGAAAACTACATTTAATATGGATTTGAATGAATTAGATTCAATAAGAACTGATGCAGAAACAATTAAAAAGATAACAAGTAAAACAATATAATCTATTCTATTTTTTATATTTTTTTCCTTCGATTAGTGATTAGTTTGGTTCGAATTCGAGTGTTGTCTGTGGTACAAATCATAGGCAATTTAATGTTTATAAATGTTATAATTCTCTCTTATGATTGTAACTCAACTATTCCTATTGCTTAGTAAGTAGTCTTGGACACCAAAATTATTCGACAAGTTCTCAAATCAGAACACGGTTGAACAGGAAGAGAGATTATATTCTAATTAACAAGGTTAGATGGAAGTAAGAAGCAAGTAAGTAAGTAAGTAAGTGCAATAGGGAAAACGTTAGTATATTTATAATTTTTCACATGAGATTTCTAGAGTATTCACTAAGTATTGGACTAACGCTGATTAGATGAGAATTACCCAATCAGCGTGTATCAAAACAATCGTGCATTCGGCATGCTTTAATCCAGTCTATGTTCCGCTAACAATAAAGCTTCAAGTTTTATATACTTAATGATTAGATGAAGTCATTTTAATGATGAAATTTGTTATAATTTGTGGCCTGTGTGCCCTGTTAATGTATAACGTAAAGAAAATACTGCCAATTAGTGAGCAGTGACTTATCGATCGGATCAATGACGCGTAAACCCGTACGAGCAATCTAGAGTCCTTATTGGTCCTGCTTTCTGCTTAGCCTAGCCAGTTAAGTCCAGAACACAAATCCCAGTCTCTGTAAAATGAATCCTTTATTTCCAACATACTGGGTTAATATACCAACCAGACAGACCACAACGTACCATAAAATATGAAACATCACCTGTACAAGAATTAGCCAAATGTGGCTGTGAATGAGGGAGATAGTAACTAATAGACAGGGCATAATTCAAGAATGGTAAATTGTATAATAATAGTCCGTAGGTCAAAATAAAGCTTGTGATAAGAGGGACATGAATATGAATAGTTCAGTTACATAAAAATTATACGATCAAAATATACGTATAATATTGTTCTATAAGTGGATCCCAAAAGTTACCATTCATTATTCTTATCGGGATATAACAAAATTTCAAACAAGTTACTTAGTGTTTAATTGTCTATATTATTAGACTCTGTAGTTGTGATAAGATAATTCAAAATGTGTGATCTGACTGATAGAAAGTCTAAAAATATGTCATTATATTGAGTCTATCGAATTCAATGTAAATTTAGTGTTTTTGTATAATGAGGAAAGACTTATCAACCTTGAGTATACGGATGTTGTCTTATTGTGTGATGATACACAAGCTATGCAAATCCCACTTACTTGGTTGGGAATTAGTATATTCACATATGTCATGTGCCTCGCGATTTCTAAATTCAGAGTACTTTCATAAGATAAGAAGAAGCCGGTGCATGCGCTCACTCTTTGTGTTGAGTTGTCAGAAGTAGTGTGAAATTTCGTGTATCTGTATAGCAGTGTAAGAAATGTTCTGTCGGTGTATTGGATGAAATCAATCAATGTATAATAAGAACCAGAGCAGATTATGCTTGTCTTTGCCACTTTGGAAATGTTTCTCTGGATGTTAAAAGTTCGGGACTACATTGCGTCAGTGAGAGTAGTTGTGCTTGTGAAACCTAACCTGTCCGAATTGCGTATGTTTGGAGATTTTGTTTAATAATCGTTATCTCCGAGGTATTGTTGAAACACTGTAAACAGTACGTCAGTAAAGTTGAGGTTAGGAAGTGTGTATTTGGGAAGAGTTACGATGACTTAATTGATATCACCATCGTAATACACAAGCTTTGTTACTTTGGACATCTTTTACGAATGTTATGTCTTTCAATTCCACATCGTGCGTTATTTACCGACACTGGGACTAAGCGAAAAAAGCGTAACACTTTTCAATCCATGACAGCGTCGCAGTATGGAAGAGATCTGCATACCTAGTTCAGGAAACGACCATTATATTCTCATTTGTTGTTTGTTATTGCTTTCACAAACCAACAACATAATGTTTGAAAATCGAGGCAAATGAACGACATCTGTTGTTTGGACTCTGAAATCGGTCAGATGAAAATGTTAGCTGCTTCCAAACTTTTATACATGTTCGTGGAAGTGTTGATTTCGATCTTAAGACAAGTAACGTAATCACTTTGTCTAATAATATGCATATTCTGGAATATTGTATTCCGTGACTCGCTCCATTGAAACACTCAATTTTATGAAATGGACTGTCATGATCGAGTCAGTTTATCGACTACGGAAAATAGATAAATATTAGAATAACTAGTACACTCTTCGATAAAATCATCAGAAATAAGTGAGCGACTCTTGTATTTTGGCGCGAAATTCCTTCAACGCGTTTGAAATGTATCAGTATAAAGGGTTAGAGGATACACAAGATGAAGTTGACATTGAAATAAATTGTTAATTAATGGTGCACACGATACTAAGGAGACAATGTGATTATATTCATGAGCATCTGCCGATAGCTTTGATAGGTAATTGAGGTTGAGCCACCGAACTCCCTATTAATAACCGAACACAACCCCTATTGCGCCTATAGTCTTTTATGGACTGCCGGCACCTATTCTGTCATACAAAATCAACATACATACGCAACCAACAAATAGCAAATGTAATCAAAATAACACGAATAAGAGCTCCGACGCTGCCAGAATTACCATATTTACACTGACGAGAATACCTGGTGCATAATTTAAATTTACCGAAAGAGTATCACAGAACGTAACACAAAAGTACCAATGATCGAATGTCCGTAATCAATCCCCCAGTTTTATCATAATTCTTTAGTTATATTATGGTGTGTGATAGTGAAAGTAAACGTGATTGGCCACTGAGTGTGGACAGACAGATATGCAGCTTCCTGACCATGAAAAATGATTTACTTTAATCTTACTGATTTTTGCTCCACATCCATTGTGTGGAATACAGTTTTGTCCAGCTCCATTCTTGGTCATGAACTGTATATCTGTTATGACGTGGTCTACTATGTATATGACACATGGACTAGGTATCCAATCTAACTGTATTATAAACTCAATCACCCATATTAATCTTTCATTCAAGTATTATCGTATTAAACCGCAGAGACAAAAATATTTTAAGCCATCCGTTATATCATATACGATACTGATTAGACACAGAGCACTCTGTCAATTCATCATGTTTATTTACCATATTGAAGACGTAGATGTCGAAAAAACCGCACAAACTGTAATTCTGTTGAGAATATGCTTGTAGTCAGTCAGTCAGCTTCGAGATGATTCCCCAGGCTTTGTACATCAATCGCTCTGATAAAGATTATTAAATAAACTCCAACGGTAAATTCAAAAGGCAACACGAAGCTCCGACTACAGTTTAACATTTTATGGCGTAGATCACCGTCACAAACACACCAAACGATTTCAAGCAGAAGTGCGAATACAGAAGGGAACCAAGGATTGATTTGTTAAGATGTATATAGGATAGCGAATGATTCACCGATAGGTTTTAAGCTAAAGAGAAGGATATGTGCTCAACGTGTCGCCTGAGTCCAAATGTACATGTTTTGTACAAACATGATAGTAATAATATCGATACAGAGACATAGGTAAATTGTTCAGATAACACTATCTGTGAAAAAAGTTAATAAACGGGCTTGATAAAATTAACCGTAAACAAACTTATTAGCAGTGAAGGTGCTATAATAACCCCCCAACTAGCAAACAAAGTTATGTAAAAAAACAACGTTAAACTGGACAGAGTACCTATGATACACGGAAAGTATCGTATTACAGAATAACTTACTGTGACTTGGAATATCATCCCAGCATGCAAAGAACGTACAGTGTAACGCAGTCGAACGTCACGAATAAAAATTCAACCAGAGCAAAATTCACAGCATAATTTAGTTATTTAATAGAAAATACACTATAACATGATAAATTCTATGATTACATTAACGTGCACATGATCGTTATTACATTGGGCTGTACATTAGGTTTACGTGGAAACATTGGGTCTAAACCCACTCGAATATCGTAATATAAAAAATCAAAACTACCCTGTAAGGTTATATGTGTTTATGTACATCGGTGAGGTCAGATAAAACATCGAAAGGGTTTGGTATCATTTTTATACATATTAGGGGTGAAGATATACGAAATGTTTCTAATTGTATGAAAGATAATGTAAGGTTAACGATGCTCGTGTACAAAAAGAAGAGGAATAAAATAAGTTATGTTCAAAACAGTGAAAGAAATTACTAATGCAAATTTGTGATTATATACCATAGCGGTCATTTAACTCTATGACTATATCTCGTCATCGCTGGAGTTTCTTCATCATATTTATCATTGATGCTTAAGATTCACATTTCGGTGATGCTACAGTTTCTGAAGGATTTGCATTTTTCGATTGATCATCACTTTCAATGAAAGCTGTTTCAACTTGGTCGATACTGATTACATCTATTTTCCTACAGTAATTGCTTTATCAGTCTCCTCGAAACCACGTTAAACGGACCGTCATAATTCGGTTACACAGGATACTGTACATTATCTTTTCTAAACAAATAAGTGCTATTAAGCAATTGTTGTAGTATGTATATTTGTCATTGCTGAGTTATTTCTAAATTATGTATCATTACCAACATTTGATTTGATAATTTCGAATAAATTGAGCATTGGGTAGACTGTTATAAATAAAAATAATATTTGTAATATCCCAATGAGTAAAAAATTAGATTTTCTGACGTTTCGTGACTTAGTGTAAGTCACTTCTTCAGAGTAAATAAATAACCAAATTAAAATTAATCCAAGTTTACATAGTACAACGGAACAATGCAAGAATAATATTTGATCAGTCAAACTGTTCCGTTGTACTATGTTAACTTGGATTAATTTTTTATTTGGTTATTTATTCTCTGAAGAAGTGACTTACACTAAGTCACGAAACGTCAGAAAATCTTATTTTTCTACTCATTGAGATATTAGAAGTATATTATTTATTTATATTTCTAAATTGTTCATATACTTCTTTAGAGGTTTTACGTAGTTAGTTATATCAGTCGGAAAACTTTTACGTACAGTAGAGTTCCATAAACTAATTCTGCTGGAAACGCTCTCTTACTCTTCAGTAGTTGATAGGTTATTATTTGTTGTAAAGAGAACAAAATTTATGAGATATAAAAGTAAAGTTTTATTTACAAATGTAAAGTGCATATTTATGTATAGAAATTGTAAGTTATCCAATGTATCCCAATTCATCACTTCAAA